TAGCCTGGCCTGGGCCATTATAGCGATATTGAGTAAAATATATATGGTGATTTGGGTAAAAAAACCCCCCAAAAGAAAAAATCAACAACCCCCTCCTCCAACAAAACAAACAAAAAACCAGGTTGTGAGTGAGAAAATCATGAAATACAAAAAACAAATACAGGGGGCAACTAGGTGGTGCAGTGGATAGAGCACTGGCCCTGAAGTCAGGAGGACCTGAGTTCAAATCCAACCTCAGACCAAAGCAAAAAAAAGGGGGCAGCTAGGTGGCGCAATAGATATAGCTCTGGCCTTGGAGTCAGGAGGACCTGCGATCAAATCCAGCCTCAGACACATAACACGCACTAGCTGTGTGACCCTGGGTAAGTCACTTAACCCCATTGCCTCACCCCCCCCCCCAAAATACAAAAAAAAGCAGTAGAATTAGACTTTTTTTTTGTGGCTTTTGCTGCCTATTTCTATACACCAAGCACAGGAGCAAACCACCTTAAAACACATATCACCCATAATTCTCTGCTGTCCTTTTTTCTTTCTCTATCCCTCCTGCTCTAATTCCCCAGAGGAGTCAATGGAAATCTTCTGGGCTTACTAGCTAAGGCAATATCATACCTCTGATGCTGGTCACCATGCAGGGAGGTGGTGGGAATTCTGTACGCTGCTCACAATGACAGAGGATAAATTTGGAAAGACTATCGCCAATGTTGAATTTAATGACAGAAGCCTTAATTAATGTACTGACACAGACTCCAAAAAGTCTATTTTTGTCTATAAGGTGAATGTCCTGTGCTTTGTACTGACAGCTGGTGTCAAGTCAACTGCTGCAAGGTGCCTAGGAACTCTTTAGGAGAACGTTATATAAACAGAACCAGAAAGACTCATTTGAAAAGGATGGAGATATGGCCCACAGACAGGCATGGCTATGGGGAAGAATGAGGGGAATTTGTTGGCCTCCTAGTTGATACGGTAGATGACCTGTAGGTGATCAACATTGTTGTATGAAACAAAGAAATCAGCCCAAGCTACAAAGCACAGAGGGATATTTTCTCACCTGCTCTACCCCTCTGGATTTTCAAGGGTTTTCCCTGGCTATGATCCTATGGTAGGATCATGGAATTAGAGCTTGAAGGAACCTGAGAGGTGATCTAGTCAATCTCCATTTTATAGATGAGGTATTGAGGCCTATAGAAATTAAAGTGACTTGCCCAAAGTCATGAGAACAAATGACAAAGCCAGGATTTGGACCCAGGTCCTCTGACTCATCTGCTTTCAAACTGAGTGCCCTTCCCATTGCACCGTGTTGCTCCCTTGTCCAGTCTTAGAAAGCCAGCCATGCATAAGCACCCTGAGGGTAGGGATGGTTTTATCTTTATGTCTCTATTGTCTATTCTATTGAATAGAATGGAAAGGCAATTTACAGTTTCTAGTGCTAGGTTGCACAGACACAGGTTCATAAACCATGTCATAGTATGGCCTCTGGCTGGGTGTGGCCAACATACTGCCCCAAGGACCAGATTGTGGCCAGCTCTTTTGATTCCATTCCTTTGTTGTGATGAGGGAGGGGTGGGATGAGCACGCATGAGGTTAGTACATACCGTGAGGTTGTGAATGTCTTGAGAGATGACCCCTATCTGTAAGACTGTACCTTCCGAGGGTTCCATCTGTAAAATTATTCAGCAGTATCGTCAGAGGGCAGGCAAGGGGGCCATTCATTTCAGGCTCTACAAGGCATGCTTCTGGTTCTCATGGACAGACACATCACAGGGTCCAATTCCTTGACTCCAGGACTCTCTGTAGGGGAGAGTCTTCTGGGAGAACTTCTAGTATATAAATTATTCAAAAAGGATAGACTTTTTTTTTAAGCCAGTTTCCGAGACACAAGTATAGACGGTGCTTCTGGTAATGCGTCATGTATGTATTGAGCTGTGCTGGCCAGTTTCATGCTCAGCTAGTGGTCCCCCCCCCCCCCGACACAGACATACAGACATACAGACACAGGCACAGGTCCCTGTGAGAGATTCAGAGGAAGGAGGAAGTTCTAGGGAATATGGTTTTACCTGCCACTGGCAAGAGGTGGTGGCAGCACGGCCAAAGTTGTTCCTTTGTTCTATACTTTTATTAATGCTTCATGTTTCTAAAAGACGGAAGATTGTATTGGTCCAGCACTCTGGCCAGCTTGCTGCATGGACCTGTCTGGACTTCTACCATCAGAAAGAGACTGAATGGCAGTCTGCATTTGACAGCGCTGATGGCATTGGCACCAGTGTGCCTGACCTCTGAACTCCCCTGGGGTCTGGACCACTGGCATTGCCAAGCCCTGAGGATGGAGGGAAACTCAGAGAGAGCTTCTCAAGAAGCAGCATGCAATGGTCCCAGCTCTGTCTTGTGATCACAGTCTCTCCCCCTGCGTAGACATGCCAGCTCTAGGGCATCAGGCAGTAAGGTGAGAAACACACAATGTACTTTAGGGACACAAATGTTATGCCTCAAAGGAAGGGCAATTAGGAGAGCATGTAAACACCAAACATAAGGCATGAAAACAGGGGTCCTGATGCCAAAGGGTGCTCATTCCCCATCTTCTCCCTATCCTGCTATACTTCCTGTTCCCCATCTATACTGACCAAAAGAAAAGGGAACCAGGCTTCTGCCCTCCAGGTAGCATAGTGGATACAGTATTGCCACTATAGCAAAGGACACTGTTCAGGTTATGGAAAGGTCTGTCCATTTCCCTTTTAATGTTCCAAAGGAGATATTCCTTAGAACTGAGTGTCCTTCCCTAGTTTTGGCTGTAGAGGGCAGCATTGACCCATACTTGCAGACAGCATGGGCTCACAAAGTCAAGATCAAGAGCCCAAGTACAGAAATACAGGGGAGACAGGGCTTTGCAATGGAGTCATGAGAACTGAAAGGGTGCTGGTCACAGTTTGGGTGAATGGCAAACTCAGTCTGAAAAAAGAGGTGATGTGAGCCAAATATGTTAATGCAACATTAGACTTCATTAAGATAAGTGCACTGTCCAGCCCCGGCCAGACCACAGCCAGAGCTTTGTATTTAGTTGTGGGTGCCACATGACGGGAAGGACCTTGGCAACTTGGAGTTAAGGGCTGCTAGCACAGTGGAGGGCCCTGAAACCAGGCCATGTGGAGACCAGATGAACAATATTAATGTCACCTATTTCTACAATGCTTTTTTTCACAGGTACGTTTGAGGCTGTAACTTGCCAGGATTATTTCTGATTTACTGATGAGGAGGTCAAGTAACTTACCTGTAGTTTCACAGCTAGTGTCAGAGCCGGGATTCAAGCCAAGGTTTCAAACCTGACTTCAAGCCTAGAGTTATTTCTGTTACACTAGGAAGAAACAGAGGATGTACATACAGGGCATCCCAGGATGCCCGTGTAACTGGGGATAAAGGAAGACTTGAGGGACGGAGCTGAGGATAACATCCACCTTTAAGTACGTGAAGGGCTATCATGGAAGAGAGGCAGTGAGGTATAGTGAATAGTGTGATGGATTTGCAGTGAGGAAGTCTTGGGTTCAAATGTCACCTCTGATGCTTACTAGCAATGTGAACTTGTTTCCTCATCTGTAAAATGGGGGTGGGGGTGAGTTAGACGAGATGGCCTGTAACGTCCCTTCCAGATATAAATCTGTAATCCTATAAGACTGGACTTGCTTGGCTTGGCTTAGAGATGGGGAAAAGTTGCATAGGGGAAGATTGTGGCAATCTAATTTTCCAATTGGAGCACTCCCAAAGAAGAATGGGCTGCCCCAGGAGGTAATGAGTCCCCCATCACTGGAAGGTTTCAGATAGAGGGGATTCACACTCAGGTCTGGGCTGGACTCTAAAGCCCTTCCCTAACCCATCCGGACAGAGTAGAACTGACTAGGACAGAGCACATGTGGTTTAAGAAGAGACACAAAGGGGTTTCCTTACAAGGACTTGGCAGGCTTCTAGGCAGACACAGCACGAGAGATAAACTCAGGGTTGATACTTACTGCCTCGAGACTCTGCTGCCTCTGGATCACTCAGGAGCACGAAGATGGAAGACACCTTGAGGTACCGACCAGAGGGAGGGAGGGAGTGGCATGTGGAGGGCTGGGGGCAGAGGGGCATCTAACAGCCAGGAATCTAGACCCAAGGCCTCTGTGGTGAAGCAGGGAGGCTAATATGGAGGATGGAGCATTCTGCACCTGGTGCTAAAATCCTGGCCTTGGTCTTTCCTCATCTGATTCACAAATGCTGAGCTGACTGTGTCCATGGGCTAGGGCTGGCCTTGCTCTCTTGAAGTTCCGATTTTCCATTTGTACAATGGTTGGAAGACCATCTGTGTTATCCCTCCTGCCCCATTAAAGGGATAAGTTCTATGTCAAGTGCTTTGCTTCTCAGCGGAACATTAATTATTTACTTTGCCACAAAGAAGCAACACCCTCCGTGTTAAGATAAACAAACCACCAGAAGGTTAGAAACCCTCCTTCTCATTGATTATATTTTCTGCGAGTGGTACATAGACTCCCTCTGAATTATCTCAGCAATCAGAACTTCAGAACATGTTTAATGTATTTATAATCCAGCTGTGCAGAACAAGAAACATGTATGTGTATGTATATAGATGGCTAGTGTATACAATGCTGGGCCTGGATTCAGAAAGACTTCAGTTCAAATCTGACTTCAGACACCTACTAGCTGTGTGACCCTGGGCCAGTCACTTAACCTCCATTTGCATTAATCCACAGAAGGAAATGGCAAACCACTCCAGTATCTTTGCCAAGAAAACCCCATGGACAGCATGATCCATGGGGTCACAAGGAGTCAGATGTGACCAAATAACAACAAAGCTGAAAAATCTACTACAGGAGATTTGTTAGTTTTGCATCATAAAGCAAGTCTAAGATCATTGGGATCCAGCTATTTCTTAAAATAAAGACAAAAAATATTCTATTAAAAATGTGCATGTGTGTGTATTTATCCCCAATCCTCTGTACACATTAAGTAGAACAAAATCTTATACATTTATTTATATTTATGTTCATAGTACTTAAATACATCTTAAAATGAAAATAGTGTTTATGTTTGTGCAGACTCTGCAGGGTATGGGCATTAAGAATCATTTAAAAAACCATTATTCTTAAAACCATTTTCCTTCCATTCTTAGCCTCTAGTAACAGTCTTAACAGCCTGTCCTCAAGAAAGGCACTGATGCACAGAGAGGCTGAGACAGGAGAAGTACTGACTTAAAAAGAAAAAAACAAAACAAAACAACAAAACACAACCAGTTGCCTGGCCTATTTGGTGTCAAAATCAAATGCTTCTGGGTTTTGAAAGCCTGGTTTTTCTTGGTGAGTTCATGCATATGAGGCTGGAGGTTATATGGCAGGTAACACAGTGTTATTTGCAAGCTCTAGGATTCGAATAGAGATGCTGAGATGACAGTTGCATCAGTTGACGTATCCCACCTGATCCAGTTTGTCCAGTTCCTCCCCAGGACTGGGGGGAAGGCCTCGGTGGCTGTGGCTACCGTAAGCCTTGTGATTGCCATTCACACTTTCACATGGCTCTGTGGGGCATATGTAGTCTGTCGATTCATCAAATTTCTTTTTTCTCATATTTCCGAAGTGTGAAAATCCTAGTTTCTTTGGCTAAAACACAACCAAGACAAGACCACATGAAAAAGAAAAATAATCTTATCTGTAGATCTAAGAAAGTCAGATTTAAGAATATTAATTTAAGAAAATTAATTAATTTAATTAATTTAAGAATATTAATATGTATTCATTCACTCACTAAGGATTTATTCAACATCTACTATGTGTATAGTACACTTTGAGGAAAAACAAAGCCAAAATCCCATGATACCCAATACTATTGTAAAGCTGGCTTTTATTATGTAAGTTAGTCTTATGTTGTAGAAGGGGCCAAGAAAACTTTTGATACAGTTTTAATGAATCTCTATGAGTAATCCTACACAGAAAATTCTTTCTCTGGTCTATATCTCCAGTAGCTCTCACTGAGGACTAAAAACTCTTCTATGAACTCTTACCGCACTAGAGTTACATAATATAATATATAATACATAAAGAGAGTTAGTGCCAAATAACCTATTGCTTCCAGCTTTACACCTAGGCTCACTGTTGGTTCATGAGGGCTACTATAATTTCCCCAACCAGAAGAGTTCCTTGAAGGCCTATATTATCTCTTGTTCACCCATAGCACCTTAGCCCTTAGTGCCTTAGTGTACAAATGGGTTGGGCTAGGCAAAGACTGGGAAGGTGTCCAAACAAGTCCCAATTTTACAAAGTCTGAACTGATGCTGGTCTCTAGAAGCTAGACACAGACAAGTAATTATTTCATGAACACAAGTTCTCTGGGTTGATGGGACACTATAACATCTCTATAATGAGAAAGACCTAGGGGAGGAATGAAGCTGTGCTCCGTGCTTGGGCCCATACCCATAGTGGGGGACCTACCCGGACTTTGGCAGTAGTAGTCAGTGGTGTATAGGCTGGGGATGCCATTATATCTCTCTTTTCTTGCTGGGCCACAGGCCCAACAAGGACATTGAAGTTGGTGGTTAAATGGCGTCGGAGAAGTGTCTTCTGAGGAGGAATGTTCAGAAGCATGGCTAGTGTGTCCCCACTGAAGCGGGGCTCTAGGATCTGGGGGAAAGACCATACGTGTTGGGTTAGTGGGTTCAGTGGCCCTCACGAGTCAGCTGCTGAGTTTGTTGTAGGAAGACTTTTCGGGTGGACAGCAGAACTTTGACTAAGCAAACATTTTCTGACGTCTCCAACAATTTACAATCATACAAAAAAAAAAAATGGTCTTATAGGTCCTGAGACATTAAATGACTGGTCCAAGGCCACACAGCTAGTAAATGATGGAGATGGGATTTGAATCTATACTATAGTTTCTTTTATAACACTTTTCTGTAAATCTATAGGAAGTTCCAGATCAATACTGAATCCCTTCAATTTGAATTCACACTACTCAAAGTGATGATTATATAAAATGTGGTAACTGGTTCTAGCCTAATGAAAATATGAAAGGTGAATTTGCATAACTTCAGGGGATTCATTATTCATAGTAACCTGGACCTAGCTGTATTTAATACCTGAAAATGATCTTTTAGAGGATGACAAGACGCTACCCAGCTCCTGAGAGTGAGAAGGCCTGAGCCATGGTGCAGCTGCATTGTTTGGGAGAAACTTCCCTGCCTCTGGTGTGTCTCTGTGTCTTCCCTGGTGTGCCAAATGCTAGGGAGATAGTGGGAGGAAGATTGTTTCCAGTAGGATGGAAGGTCCTTGAGGGCAGGGATAGTTGTCATTTTATTTTTGTATCCCCTAGTGTCCCGTATATAGTATGTGCTTAACAAATGCTTATTGGATTGGATCTGCGTGTCCCTGCACTGGATGACTGTTGTCCTATGGCAGTGCTTGGTGTCATCCCTCTGTGACAGGGTATCAATTTCATTGATCTAATCAGGCCTTTCAGAGCCCTGGCTGGCTAGTCCATTCAGGGACTCAGTCTCATGCTGATAAATGGGTAGCTGAGGGGTCAGGGAATGATTCATTCTATTGATATAACATGGAAACCAAGCCTCTTCTCCCATCATTCAGGAGGTGAGGTTCCTAAGTCCAAGTGCAGAAACCAAAGGCTGGGACCACAAAGGAAGTGTCTCAGCAAGGGCAGCCCTTTCTTCTTACAGAGGCTTGTCAACCTTTCCAGGGTTTTCAGCTGTGGTAGCCCTAGCCTTCCCCCTTCCACCTAAACCCGTTCTCAGAGGACTGCCTATCTCTAAAGGACAGTAGACACAGCCACTGACCTTTCTTGGCCAGAGACAGAATGATGTGGACAGTGTTAACAGAATGGCCTGTTTTCAAATCCAGCCTCCACATTTACAAGTGTGTAACTGTGGGCAAAAGGTGTAGGTCTGAATCCCAGCTCCGCCATTTGCGACCTATGTGACTGGAACAAGTCCCTTCAACCCATGGGGCCTCACTGTCCCCACTTATAAAATGAGGGGAACCAGACTAGAAAATTACTAGCTACCTTCCAGCTTTAAAGCTCTGATCCTCTGATATAAAATAACAGGTCAGATGTATGAGCAGCTACTCACAATGAGACCACCATGAACTCCGCTTCCTCGAAGGTTTGGTGCGTATTCAGCCAGGTCTACTGACCTCAGCCATTCCATCACTCGGTGGTTGGACCACTGTACCACTTCAGAAGGAGAAACATTACTCTGTCAGGACGAGAAGAGAGAAGAGCCAAGACCCGTCATTGAGAACATTACTTAAAAAAAGTAAAGTGACTTGCCCAGGGTCACACAGCTAGTGAGCGTCTGAGGCCACATTTGAACTCAGGTCCTCCTGACTGCAGGGCCAGTGCTCTATCCACTGCGCCACCTAGCGCCCCAGAACATTACTGCTGAGGTTAAATTCAGGTCTTACTGACTCTGGGCTCAGCATTCTATCCACTGTGCCACCAGCTGCCTCTAAAATATTGTTGTGCCCAGCAAATACCATATTCAAAACATGACTCTGAAGGTGGGTGGGAGAAGATGGGAAACATTTATTCTTGCTGGTTGGAGAGTATCACTTTTCATAGGTTTGTGTGTGGGAGGGTGCTCATGTGTCTCTGTGAAGTTTAATTTTCCTTATGCCAAAATCAAACCCCCAAGTCTCAGTCACTCTTCTGGGTATCTTTTCCCAACCATTTGAACAACTGAATGCATTTTAGGACCTCAGAGGTGTGAGTGAGCAAAGGAGGGGTTGAGGGTACTTGTGTTTAAGGATGGCAAGGAAAGCATTAAAGTACATAAGATTAAAGTCTGACTTATTCACTTTAAAACTATGTCCTCCAAGTAACTAAACTGTACATGTACACCCTTTGACCCAGTGACACCCAGTGACATGGCTGAACAAATTATAGTACACAAATGTAATAAAATATGATTTCCAAGAAACCTGTGGTATGAAATGAGCAAAATCAGAACAATTTATACTATTACATCAGCATTGTAAAAATGAACCATTTTCCTGCCCTCTGCAAGCTGATGGCCTTCCAATTACGTGATGCTTAGAACGGAATGCAGGACTTCAAATGGAATGTGAGCAGGGCAGGGTAGGAGTCTTATCATCTTTCCTCAGGATGTTATACTCATCTGAATTGTCCAAAGCCAAAATTACCTTGTTCTGGAGAAGTCTGCAGTCCACTAAAGCTCCCAGATCCTTTTCAGTTGTCTAGTGAAATCTTGCTATCATCTTGTACTTGTTCTGATGGATTTTTAGAATCCAAGTGTAGGACTTTCACACTTTCCCTATTAAATGCCATGCTATCAGATCAGGCCCATTTCCCTTTATGAAGCCATCAGGTCAGAAGACTCTGTCCACACCGTATTTGAGGAACCTAAATGGGGCCTTTGACTATGGGAGTGGCATATTTATTTGGGAGAGCACCTTCTACCGAGCAGTCTGTAATACCCTCCCCTCTCTGAGGCTGAGCTCTGTTTCTTATTTAGGCAAGGAGAAAGGTTAATATTGTTAGTGCCTGTTCTGAGAAGGTCACTCTGAGTAACGTCACTGAGGAGAGGATGCTGGCTGGGTATCGGAACCGGCAGCCTTAGGAGTAGCTGGGGAAGACGGAGAAAGGAGCAGCTGTACCCATTCTATCTTTCCTCCCACTGACACACAAAAAGGCACTCTAAGCTGGGTGTAAGCCTGAGCAGAGGGCCCTCCCTCCTTCTGGTACTTTTCTCCTTCCTTTTTACCCCCTAACTTACAATATGAGAGATTAAGAGAGAGAAGAGACCTCAGAAGCCAGCAGCTTCAGCCTCCTTGCCTCACAATTGAGAAAACTGAGGTTTGGGTTTTTTCCTAGTGTCGCCTAAGCAGGAAGCATCAGAAGAACGATCTCTGACTCGAGAGTTAGTACTCCTTCTTCTGTACCACACTGCCTTCAATTTCTTTAGTTTTCTTTCTATTCTTCCTCTCTTCTCTCCCCTTTTTCCTCTTTCTCTTTTCCTTATCCCCTCTTTCTTTCCCTCCTCTAACTTTTCATTACCTTATTTCAACACTCCATTTATCTCCCTCAGCCCCCAATTTGGATCTGCTCGCCATGCTCTCCTTGGTTCAGCTGGAGAGGCTGGTGGAGAGCATACAGCTGGGCAAAAGGGATGGAATGGGCCAGGGAAACCTGAACTGGGATCGAGGGGAGGTCTGTTGAATCCAGAAGGAAGGGGCCCAGTGGCTAGCAGGACTCCCCACTCAGTACCTTCTTGTCCTCCTCTCCAGTAGTAAATGGGGGCACTGGGCAAGAGACCTCCAAATGGACTGACTTCCTGCTTAATCGAGAAAGAGGGACAGCTTTCTGCCACTGCGGCACCTGTGAATTGGAAGACTGCCCTTCCTGCCCCTACCTCATCGGCGGGTCTCCTGTGTAGGCAATGAGGATTGAATTTGTTGACATGGAGCACGTGGATGGCACATTTGATGCTGAGATGATGCAGCTGGCTGGTGACTTTTAAGAAGAGAAGGTCATTCTGGAAGAGGAAAGTCAATGGGTAAGGGCTCACTTGGTACTGGGAAGACAGACATACCATTCGATTCACTCACTGTTCTTCTCTCCTACACATTTCATGACACCCCTGCCCTGCCCCATGTCTAACACCATGGGCTCAGGACATCACACACGGCCCAGACAACACTGCTTTACGATTTTGTTATTATTAGTCTCGACTTGTGATTTCACTAGTATAGAAAATTCTTGGTAAGCAAATCTCTACTAACGCACATCTACAACTGTTCTGTAATTTGTATTCCTGAAGAGCAGGGGGGTCTTGACCTATTTTGTGCTCTGGAGTCCTTTGGCAGTCTGATGAAGTCTTTTTTTTTATGGGGGAGAGGGTGATGCAATCAGGGTTAGTAAGCTAGTAAGTGTCAAATGTCTGAGGCTGGATTTGAACTCAGGTCCTCATGACACCAGGGCCGGTGATCTATCCACTGTACCACCTAGTTGTCCTTTCTCAGAACCATGTTTTTATACAATTGAAGGGACTGCTTCAATTAGAGCAGAGGTTGGCAGCTATAGCTCACATATGGCCTGCCTCTGTACAGACTCCAGGCCAAGAAGGGTTTTTCATTCTGGGCTGGGTTAAGGCTTGTGGGTCAAGTTTGCTGACCCAAGCTAAAGGGTAGTGAAAATAAAGATTTATTATTTTTCCCCAACCAAGCTCACAGACCTCAGTTTGCTCCTTGGTCTCGAAAGCTGCCCAGGATATTCTGATTCCATAACCTGCTCGAGGTCATGGAGCCGGTAGGGGTTATGAGTCAGACTTATCACTATGCAACATTTACCTGCAAACCTTAAAGTACTTTCTAAACACTGATTATTTGAGGAAAGTCATCTAACCTCCTTTAACTTCAGTTTCCTCATCTGTAAATCGAAAGAATCATAGAGGACAGTGCCTAAGGCTCCTTTCAATGATAAAATTCTAAGATGTGGATATGTATAGTAAGACAGATGAATCACTGTCACAGAAGTTGCTGAGTGCTTTCCCCTCCCCATTATGCCTAGCAGTTGGTAGTGAAATTTCTGTCTAAAACCTTATGTTCCTGAATGCCTTCCCTTCTCACCTCAGCCTCGAGGTATCCTTAGAATCCTTCAAAGCACGGCTCAGGAGAGGCATTTCCTGCTGCCCAAGCTCTGCGAGTGTTTCCGCCCTCTTTATTTTGTATTTACTTTCTGGATACATATAACATCCAGCCCTTCTTACCACCACTCATCCCTTTCCCCCAGTCCATTGTTAGATGTAAGTTCCTTGAGGGCAGGGAATATTGATTTTATCTCTGTATCCCCAGTACATGGATGTCAATTATTATGTTGGTTTAGTTGAACTGATCAAACTCAAATCCCTTACCACAGTTAAGTATTGAAGCATCCGCCCGTCAACCCTGGATTCATGGAACTGGTCTTTGTATTGAGGCAAGCCAATATCGTCAAGCCACCCTACAGAGTGAAAAAGAAAGGTACATCTCAAAGTTCCTATGTGACAGCCACTAAAAACAATGGGAGGTGAACTTGGGGGACAGGGTGGCACAGAGAGTAGGTAAGTGAAAAGTCAGATCAAATCTTGAGAGTTAGGGTTTGAATAATCAGAATATTTAATCACCAGACTTTCAGAAGATGTTTTTCCCCCCTTCTCCCATACTGGGATAACTCTATTCACCATCCCATATTCGTTTTTGTTTTTGTTTTTTACCTTTTGGAGGCAATCAAGGTTAAGTGACTTCCCCAGGGTCATATAACTAGTAAGTGTCTGAGGTCAGATTTGAACTTAGGAGCTCGTGACTCTGCAGCCATTGTTCTATCCACTATACCACCTAGCTGCCCCCTGGTTGAGTCGGTCTGTACTTACGGGTTACCCAAATGTGGTCCAGTTGTGCAGACTTCTCCTCCTGCTTTGTGTTAATTGACTTCACAGCCAAAACTAATTTTTTTCTGTGCAGGGGATGCTTAATTCCTAGTTCCTGAAATAGACAAGTGGAAGCTCAGTTGTTGAGTTTTAGGCAGGTAGTCCGCCCTAAGTCAGATGACTGTCGGTCTTAGTGATTATGTTATGATGGAGGTATGATGGCTCACTATGTACAACCAAGCCACTGCTCAGTAGGACCTGCAGGGATAAACCACATGCTGCTGCTGTTTCTTGTCTGATCAGAGCTATAACTTGGGTAAGGTGTCTAGGGGCGTGGCCCAGGGGGATGAAATTTAGAGGGCACTGAGTTATTCCCTCTTTAGTATAGAAATAACTGGCCTTCGCACTCGTGTAGTAAGAATAGCCAGATGGTTCACAGAAACTTCACTGTATCTCCTCACAACTGAGGCTGCCTTTAAGAGTTGATTTGACCTGGAAAGACTCATGTGAATCGACACAAAGTGAAGTGAGTAGAACCAGGAGAACAACGTATACAGGAACAGCAATACTGTAATGATGATCAACTGTGAAAGACTTAGCTACTCTGATCAGGACAATGATCTAAGACAATCCCAAAGGAGCCATGATGAAAAATGCTATTTACCTCCAGAGAGAAACTGATGAACTCTGAGTGCGGATGGAATCATTTTTATTTTTACTTTCCATGTTTGTTTTCTTTTTGTTGCTGTTGTTCAGTCACATTCTGACTCTGTGATCTCATGGGTTTTGTCCGTGGGATTTTTTTGGGCAAAGATACTAGAATGGTTTGCCATTTCCTTCTCTAGTATGCTGCCATTTCTCAGATGAGGAACTGAGGCAAATAGGGGTTAAATGACTTGCCCAGGGTCACAAAGCCAGTAAGTGTTGGAGCCCGGATTTGAACTCAGATTTTCTTGACTCCTGGCCTGGTGTCCTGGCCACTGTACCACCTAGCAGCTGTGTTTACATTTGCAAGATGGAAATGTTTTGCATGACTTCACATGTATAATTAATACCATATTGTTTGCGTTTTCAAGGGGTATGGAAGGAGGGAGAGGGAGGGAAAGAATTTAGAGCTCAAAATTTTTAAAAATAAATGTTAAAAATTTTTGTACATGTAATTGGGAAATTAATGAAATAAACAAAAACTATTTTAAAATAAGTTGATTTGTGAGCTGCCCTTTGGGACATTTTTTGAAGTTTGCCCCAGGCACGAAAAATGCTAATTTGGGCTCAAGTTGTTCTCCCATCAGACACTGTAGCCCAGATGCCAGTCTTGTGGCTTATTTCCCTTTTCCCTCCCAGCCAAGGCCCCAGGCACGTGGCAGGCAGCCAAGGTCACAGAATCCAGAAAAAGGTCAACTACTGTTATGCAGATGAAAGCCGGCTGACTTCCAGGTCTGCCCTTACCTTTTCCATGTCTTGAGGGGTAGCAGTCAATAGTGTGTGGCCAGAGCTCACCCACTGCCTGGCAAAGATCACATACTGACCCAGACCAAAGTCCTCCAGCCAGGAACACACTTGCTCCGTGTTCCACTGGGCAAAAGGAGCGTTGGAATCACTGAAAGACAGCGAGCATATGACCGTCAGGGCTGGTGCTTGATTGCAAGGGGAGCCTGGAATAGATTCTTGTTAAAACTATTTTTGTATAACAAAAAGATCAGCAAGCCTCTGGCAGATGTTAGAGACCAAAAAAAAAGTGCCATTGCAATTGTTAGATATAGTGAGGGAAGGCAGAACCTCAGCATTACAGAATCTGACAGTTGTCAGGGATTTGGTGGCCATCCACTTGCACTCAGACGGACAGGAAAGGAAGCCCCTACTATAATGTAGCCCAAATGGGGTCATCCAGCGTCTCTGCTTGTAGACCTCCAAGGAGGGGGAAGCTGCCACATTCTGAGGTAGCCCTTCTACTTTTGAACAACTCTCGTTGTTAGGAAGCTTTTCCTAAATTCAAACTAAAATGATGCCCCTTTTTGCTTGTGCTGGGACCAAACAGAAAGAAATCTAACTCTTATTCCCTAGGATGGTCCTTAAAATTCTGGAATACAGATATTATGTCTTCTTAATTTAGTATTAAAAAAAAAACCTTAAGGAAAATTATTTTTAAGACAAGAAGAATCACTTTGTACTTTGCTTTTCTCATTTTTGTAGACTAAATGAACAAAACATCCTAAGCTCCATTTCCCTGCTTAAAGTCTCCCATGGCTCATTTTTCCGGTGACTTTACGCTGGTTTCTAACAGCCAATTGTGATTACTCTTAGAACCTTAGGGCACATAAGACCTCCTTCTCCGAGAGAGCTCACCACCTGGATTGTGAGAAGGATGTTACCTCTTCTGAGCTTTGGGGTCTCTGGTTCTGGACAGCCTCGGTCCTGCGGTTGCCCGGAGCCCACCTCGGCGGAATTCTGCTATCCCTATTGCATCTGTGTTGAAATTTCCTGATTGAGTTCTTCTTATTCTGTGGGAATAGAAAACCACAGGGACCATCAGAAGACATTCTGCATGAATGGATTTAGGCCCCTTCCCATTCAACACACATACACACTCTGTCTCTCTCTCTCTCAATCACTCATTCATTTTGGACAAGTAAGATATTTAAAAAAAGACTCAGGTCCCATAAATCAGCTCTCCCATGAGACCCATGCCTCAGGATTCCCTCCCAATACAGTTTCGCTTCCTGCGGCCTCCTGTGAAGCAGATGCAGATTCTAACGGGTTTGGAAGGAAGCTGTGGTTGGTTGATTGATGACAAGGTTTGCTAATGATCCTGCTTCTGGAATTGAAGTTTGGATTGCTCACCCTACAGGACCAGGGGAGGCAGCCATGCCAAAGCCAGATGTTCTTCTCTGTGCTCCATCTTGGAAATGAGCGATGAGACCAGAACGAGGAAACTGAGTGATTCAGGTCTCAACTCTCCCACTGCATACGGGCAGATATGCATATGCACCAGAACTTAAGTTTTTAACCTAGGAATCTGTGAGCTTATTTAAAAAAAAAAATCTGGATGGCTCTATTTCACTAGAAATTGTTTCCTTTGTAACCCTATGCATTTAAAAATATGATTCAGTTCAGCCTGTGACTTGGTTGTTAGTTGCCCTTGCCCCCATGCTATGTAAATGACGGTGAATGAATGAAAAATCATTTACTAAGCACTTACTAGGTACACAGAACTGTGATAAGTACTGCAGATACAAGAGAAAAGCAAGACAGTTCCTACTTTCAAAGAGTTCACAATTGAATGAAGAAGGCAATATATATAGGTCGAAAGGACTGGGAGACCAGATTCTCTCTTGTACAGAATATCTGCGTTCTGGGCTTTTGAGCCCCTCCCTATTTTAGTTCAAGAGGAAATGTCAAAGAGGCCCAAAGGAAGCTGAGGCCTGGGGCATTGTGATACAGACAGCATATCTAATTCATCCCTGGATCGCTGGCATACAGCAGTGCTTGTTGAAGGACAAATGAAGACCTCTCTAAAACAACCTGCCACAAATAACAGGTGACTTTGGCAATTCTCCTCGAGACGTTTAAGAATGTCTGCTAATTATATTCATTCAACATGAGCCCTACGCTTATCCTACAGCTCTAAGGGGTGATGGGCTGTCATGTGGAAGAGGCTTTAGTGTTATTTTATTTGCTCCTGGAAGGCAGATCGGGAGTAGTAGGAGAAGTTTGCAAAGAAATCTGGGCTTGATGTCCAGAAACTTTCTAACAGTTAGATCTGCCCCCAAGTGGAATGGGAACTTCAAGGTCTCTAAGCTGAGGCTAAACAATCATTGGTTGAATAATTTTCAAGCATGAACTGATGCAGAACCAGAAAAACAATATTAATAGCGATCACCATAATGTAAATGATACCACTAAAGGACAAAAGAACTCAGATCAAAAGCAATGACCAATATGCCAAATAATTGATTTAGGAATCTATATCCATTCTGTTGAGAGGTAGCCATCTACAGGTATGGAATGTCATACCTGTCAATTATGGTGCTTGTATCATTTAGTTTTACTTACTTGTTTTGTGTGTGTGTGTGTGTGTGTGTGTGTGTGTGTGTGTGTGTGTGTGT